CCATTACCCACCCCACCCCACCCCACCCCCCAAAAAAAACCCAGCACCTGTTCTAAGTCATTTCCTCATTCAATCCTCCCCTAGTCTATGGAAACTGTGAACCTACTTTTGGTGGAGGGCTTCGCCTATGCTGGACACTTCATATAAATGGAAACACGTTACTTTTGTGACTGGTTTCTTAGCACAATATTCACAAGGTTCATCCATGTGGAAGCATCTATCAGTACTTTCTTCTTTTTCACAGCCCAATAATATACCTTGTCTCGGTATCAGAGCTCTGGTGGATAAACACTGGACTGCTAACTACAAAGGCAGCATGTTCAAAGACACCAGTGGCTCCACAGGGGAAAAAAAAGATAAGGCATTCTGCTCCTGTGAGGATTTACAGCCTCGGAAACCCTGCACAGGGTCGCTATGAGTCAGAATCAACTCAGTGGGAGTGAGCTTCGTTTTTTGCTTCGTATACGAACAGCGACTTTGTTTATCTGCTTTTCAGCTGATGGAAGCTTGGGTTGCTTCCACTCTGGTTATTGTAAATAAAAGCTGCTATGAATCTTTGGACAATAGGTTTTTGTGTGAATCTATAAGGAGCTCTGATAGCATTGTTGTTGTTATGTGTGTCTGGTAGCACAGTGGTTACAAATCGGGCTGCGAACAGCAAGGTCAGCAGTTCAAAACTACCAGCTGCTCTGCGGAAGAAAGATGAAGCTTTCTGCTCCCGTAAAGATTTACAGCCTCGGAAACCCTGTTCAAGATCGCGATGCGTCAGAACCGACTCCACGGCACTTAACAACAACAACATGTGGTGGCTTGTGAATTGCTGTGATTCTGGAAGCTATGCCATGTGTATTTTAAATACCAGCCGGGTCACCCATGGTGGAGAGGTTTCCTATGAGCTTTCATCTATGAGCTTCCAGATGAAGAAAGACTAGGAAGAAGGAGTGACGCCACCTAGCAGACATAGCAAAATGTCCCTCATCTGATCATTCAGTTATGCTGGTTAGTAATTCCATACATGAGCCCTGGATACCCACAGATAAATGTAAAAACCTTCCCTAAAAGCCGAGACTGTAAATTCCAAAAGGCAAAGTTTTGCCCCCCCAAAAAAAGCTAAAGAGGATATAGAGAAACTCTGTTAACTGATGGTATGTGGAGGGGATTATAATCAATGTAATGAAACAAGTTATATGAATGTTTGAATGTGAAACCAATGATGTGCCCTGAAAACTTTCACTCAATCCACAATAAAAACCTTAAAAAAAAAAAAGAAGGAGTGACGAACTACTTCCAAATCTTTAGTCACTGAAAACCTTTTGAATAGCAGAGAAATGCTGTCAGATATAGTGCCAGAAAATGAGTCCCTCAGGTTGGAAGACACTCAAAATGCGACAGAGAAGAGCTGCCTCCTCAAAGTCGAGTTGACCGAGATGATGAGAATGGAGTAAAGCCCGTGAGAGTAAAGCCCTCAGGACCTTCATTTGCTGATGGGGCACAACTCAAAATGAAGAGCAACAACTGTAAACATCCATTAATAATCATAAAATGGAATGTACAAAGTATGAATCTAGGAAAATTAGAAATTGTCAAAAATGAAATCGAACGCATAAGCATCAGTATCTTAGGCATTAGTGAGCTGAAATGGACTGGTATAGGGCATTTTGAATCTGACAACTACATGGTTTACTATGCTGGGAATGACAAATTGAAGAGGAATGATGTTGCATTCATTGTCAAAAAGAACATATCCAGATGAGTCATGAGGTACAATGCTATCTGTGATAGGATAATATCCATGCGCCTACAGGGAAGACCAGTTAATACCACTATTATTCAAATTTATGCACCAACCACTAAAGCCAGTGAGGATTTCTACCAACTTCTTCAATCTGAAATTGATCAAACATGCAATCAAGATGTATTGCTCATTACTGGTGACTGGAATGCAAAGGTTGGGAACAAAGAGGAAGGATCAGTAGTAGAAAAATATGGCCTTGGTGATAGAAATGATGCTGGAGATCGCATGATAGAATTCTGCAAAATCAATGATTTGTTCATTTCAAATACCTTCTTTGGACAGCATAAGAAACGACTATACACCTGGACCTCGCCAGATGGAACACATAGAAATCAAATTGACTACATCTGCAGAAAGAGACAATGGAAAAACTCCATAATCATCAGTGAAAACAAGGCCAGGGGCAGATTGTTGAACAGTCCATCAATTGCTCATATGAAAATTCAAACTGAAACTGAAGAAAATTAAAACAAGTCCACAAGAAATATGACCTTAAATAGATCCCACCTGAATTTAGAGATCATCTGAAGAACAGATTTGATACATTAAACATTAAAGACCAAAGACCAGAAGAGTTGTGGGATGACAACAAAAATATCATACAGGTAGAAAGTAAAAAGTCATTAAGAAGGAAAAGGTCAAAATGGATGTCAGAAGAGACACTGAAACTTGCTCTCCAGCATAGAGAAGCTAAAGCAAATGGAAGAAATGAGGAGGTCCAAGAGCTGAACAGAAAATCTCAAAGATCAGCTCCAGAAGATAAGAGTCAAACACTACCAAAAAATGTGCAAAGATCTGGGGTCAGAAAGCCAAAAAGGAAGAACACACTCACCATTTCTCAAACTGGGGGAACTGCAGAAAAAATTCAAGCCTCGACTTTAGTTATTGAAGGATTCTCTGGGCAAATTATTGAATGACAGAGAAAACATCAAAAGAAGATGGAAGGAATACACAGAGTCACTGTACTAAAAGAAAATGGTTGATGTTCAACCGTTTCAAGGGGTAGCATATAATCGAGAGTCAATGATACTAAAAGAAGAAGGCCAAGGTGCATTGAAAGAATTGGCAAAGCACAAGGCACCAGGAATTGATGGAATAAAAATGGAAATCTTTCAAGAAAGTGAGACGGCACAGGAGGCACTTACTCATCTATGCTAAGAAATTTGGAAGACAACTATCTGGCCAACTGATTGGAAGAGATCCATATTTGTGCCCATTCCAAAGAGTAGTGACCGAACGGAATGCGGAAATCATCGGACAATATCTTTGATATCCCATGAGAGTAAAGTTTTACTACAAGTAATACAGAAAACAGCTACAAGCATACATTGACAGAACTTCCAGAGGTTCATGCTGGATTCAGAAGAGGCTGTAACAAGAGATATCATTGCTGATGTTGGCTGAAAGCAGAAAATACCAAAAGGATGTTTACCTATGCTTTATTGACTACACGAAGGCTTTCGATTGTGTGGATCATGACAAGCTATGGACAACACTGCGAAATATGAACAGTCCTGAAAACTTAATCATGCTCTTGAGGAATCTGTACATGGACTGAGAGGCAGTTGTTCGAACAGAACATGAGAACACTGAATGGTTTAAAATTAAGAAAGATGTGCGACAAGGTTGTATTCTTTCACCATACTTGTTCAACCTGTATGCTGAGCAAATAATCCGAGAGGCTGGGTTATATGAAGAAAAACGTGGCATCAGGATTGGAGGAAGACTCATTAATAACCTGTGAAATGCAGATGATGCAACCTTGCTTGCTAGAAGTGAAGAAGACATAAAATATTTACTGATGAAGATCAAAGAACACAGCCTATGGTATGGACTGCATCTCAATGTAAAGAAAACAAAAATCCTCACCACTGAACCAAAAAACTACATTCTTATTAATGGAGACAAGACTGAAGTTGTCAAGGACTTCATTCTTTTTGGATCAACTATCAACACTCATGGAAGCAGCAGTCAAGAAATCAAATGACATATTGCATTAGGCAGATCTGCTGCACAAGACCTTTTTAAAGTGTTGAAGAGCAAAGATGTTAGCTTGAGGACTATAGGTACGCCTGACCAAAGCCATGGTATTTTCAATAACCTCATATGCATGTGAAAGCTGAACAGTAAATAAAGAAGACTGAAGAAGAATTAATGCTTTTCGATTATGGTGTTGGAGAATATTGAAGAGCCATGGGCTGCCAAAAGAACCAATAGATCCTTTTTGGAAGAAGTGCAGCCAGAGTGCTCCTTGGAGACTAGGATGGCCAAACTTCTCTCATCCTTCAGATATATTGTCAAGAAGGGCCAGTTGCTGGAGAAGGATATCAAGTTTGGTAAGATGGAGGGTCAGAGAAAAAGAGGAAGATGCCCAGCAAGATGGATTGGCCAAGTGGCAGCATCAATGGACTCAAGCAGGGCAACAACGGTGAGGTTGGCCCAGGATCAGGCAGTGTTTCATTCTGCTGTACATAAGATCACTATGGGTCGGTACTGAACTCGATGGCACCTAACAACAACAACGTTTTCAAATCTCCTGGGTTTATGTATGTATGAGTGAAACTGTTGAGTCATATGGTAACACCTTTCTTCTTTTCACAATAATTTATTTTGTTGCTGCTGACAACATACACAGCAAAGACGTATCGTATCTACATTTATAATTCAGTGACATTAGTGACATTCTTCGAGTTATGTGACCATTTCACCCTTGTTTTCTGAGCTCTTCCTCCCTCATTCACAGAAGCTCACCCGCCTCTATCAAACTGGCTGAGTTGCTGCAGTTGCCAACTTAATCTTAGCTCTTAAAAAAGTACAATGCCCCAGGCAAACACCGTTACTGATTACTCTAAATTATTTGCTTTGAAGAAGACGTCAGGGGATATTTTTGGCTTGAAGGTTCAAAAAAAAAAAAAATTGCTTTGGAGGTTCACCCAGGATCTGTGACCCCAAAATATCTGGAGGCCGTGAGAACTTGAAATTCAGCGAACTGCCGAACCGCTGTTGAAAAGGACCACACCATTTTTCCGACCCACCAGCAAAAAGCTGAGAGTTTCAGTTTCTCCAAGCCCTCCCAACACCTCAGTGTTAGCCAGCCTAGGTAGTATGAGCAGTGAATTTAAGAAATCTTTTCAAATGACAATGTCTGAGATTGTCCACATTATACCAGAGACACAGAAAAAGGACGCGCCATTGACTTTCTTACCTGGTGCCTATAGTTGTACCAGCCATTGGAGCCAGCAACGATCACCACCCAGTGCTTCCCACCATCCTCTGGATCATCCAGCACAAAAGCACCCGTCCCCAGGACCAAGCCGAGCAGTAAAGCTGAGCTCCAAATCATCCTGCCCCGTGAGGTTTCACCGCAGGAACTAGAGAGGAAAAAAGCAGTCACGTGAAAATGCAATGACATCATCGGTGCTTAAGAAAATATCAGTCTCAACAGTTAACCAGACAAGATCAAAAGGGCAGCCTTGGCCCAAGGATATAGCTCAAAAGACAGAAAGGGAAAAGAAAGAAGGAGCAAGGGAAATGGTAGACACAGGGAGGAAGCGAGAAGAGTGCTGTTACACTGTGAGATCTGCCATCAGGGTTACAAACTCAAACGTGTCTGAACTGTTGAATAGACAAACAATTTGCTCTTCACCCAGCTCACAAAAGACAGTATCATGGGCAATGGATGGCAAAGGTAAGCCCATTTAGTCATCAGAGAGAAAATGCTGAGGCTGGAAATGGTAACAGAGCCGAATCTGAGTTTCAGCTCAGCAGTACATTCCCATGTGAAGAAAGGGTTTCCAATAGCTCCCTATCTTCCCTACAAATTGAAGTTACACATACATAAACCAAAGAACATCTAGAAAACTTTCTGGACATCTTCCAAAGTTTACGTCACAACTTGGAACACAATGCACAGAATTCAACCAAAATTCACTGCACTGGAAAAACGTTTCCCCGTACACTTAGCATGAAATGCTAAACAGGTAAATACATGCATAGAAAAATGTAGGAGGCAGGTATGACTTAAGAGCAGTTATTGTTGACTGGTATGTAGGATTAAGGGTGATTTTCTTCTTCACGTCCTTTTTTATTGTTGAAAAAATATGTATTTAACACAACATTGACCAGTTCAACAGTTTTCAAGTGAGCAATTTAGTCTTATCAATGGCTTGAATCACATTGTACAACCATCACCGATAATCATGGCTAAATTTCCCATTCCCATGAACAAAAGGGTACCATTGTCTAAACAGTATGTGTCTCTTTTAAAACAGTCAATACCTGTTACTTATGAAGTTTGTAGAAATTTAAGACATGTTCAGTATAAACAATGATGGACCATTTCTGTTTGTGGGTGAGTTATCTGGATAAACTGTTACTGTTATTGTTAAGCGCTGTTGAGTAGGTTCCTAGAGACCCTGTATGGGGTTTCCGAGGAGCGGTTGGTGACCCTGAATCGCTAACTGTCTTTGCAGTCCAGCGTATTAACCCGCAGTATACACCAGGACTCCAGATAAGCTGTAGTCATACATTAACAGCACACACTAATTGTCTTTGTATACCACAGCATTACCTACCCTCAGTGCAGGACAAGCACTTTCATCTTGGCCTTACATGAGGGAAGGATGAAGCAAGAGAGCAAGTAACCTGCCCAGTATCCACTCAGTCAGCTTTGGCTAAGACCAGAAACTGTGTCTTCTGAATTCTTAGCCCAACACTCTTTCTGCTACAGGATTCTGCATCTCAAGATTTTATTCTTAATCAAGTCCACACCAGTTTTATATTTGTACAACCAATCCACCTCCTTGAGGATCTGAGGGTCTTGGTCTTTTTCACTGACTATCACGCACGCTATCCTTCTCCAGGGACTGGTCCCTCCTGATACCACACCCAAAGTACATGAGATGACATCTCACCATGTTTCCTTGTAAGGAGCATTCTGGCAATACTTGCTTATCCCTTCTTCCATTGATGGACACCTAGGCTGTCTGCATCTTTTAGATGCTATTGTAAATACATATTTTTTGCAAGACAGATGTGCTAACTCTTCTAGCCAGTCCATGGTATATTCAATATTCTTCACCAACGTCAAAATTCAAATGTATTGGTTTTTCCTTGGTCTTCCTAATTTGTTGCCTTATTTCAATGCTGTTGTGTGCTGTCCAATCAGTTCCTGTATAGGCTTTCCAAGGAGCATCTAGTGAGTTTGAACCACTGACCTTGCAGCTCAAACTAACCTTGAAGTTGAGTACTCATCCTACGGTGCCACATCAGGATTCTTTACTTCAATGGCAAGCAGGAAATCATTTTTTAAGACACAAAAGGCAGGAATGAGCCCAAGTCCTGGGCACCATGGCAGGCCAGACTCTATCCTATGTTCTCAATGTCATTCTAAAAAAAACCACCTCCCTGTGGCACAGCCAAGCCTGTAAGTCTATGATAAAGAGATGGAGGACTCAGCAAAACTGTGGGGCCACTCAGCAAGCAGGGCTGGCGCATGCTCACTCACTCATTGGCTCATTCACTCCCCTACTTAGCCAGAGCCTACTGAACACCTACTTTGCCAGAGTGCTAGGGGCTGGGGAGGACTCAAGAGGGGCAGGGACAGCGTCTCTGCTCTCACGGAGCATGTCGCCAGCTAAGGGATGAACCACCACCTCTAAGTCTAAGAACTAGTGACTTTTGAAAATGAGCCAGTGAAAGTCCTAAGGGAGAGTCCCATCAGTCCAATTCCTTGTGGCCGGGGTCACCCTAAGTCGGCAGGCAGTCAATGATGGGTAATCACACAAGCCTGAGAGATCTCCTCTTAACATTCTGGGCCTAACACTGCTGAAATTCACCCTGCTGGATTTTCCTCTCTTAGTGAAGAACGGAGAGCCCTGAGTCTCAGAATTTGAAGGACTGAGTGCCCCTGGCCAGCGCACCATGATCCACCTTGAGTGGTGGGTGGATCGTTAGAACGCAGATTCTGAGGGTGTGGGTGTGGGGTGAAGCTGATGCTGCCTCACACTCTGATTTCGCAGGCCCCTCCCTAACCCAGGCGGACTCTGCTCCATGTCTGCTCTGAAGCCCTGAGTCTGTCAAGGCAGCATGGGGTGTCTTCAAGCCAAGAACTTCATGCTGTGAGTCTGAGGTGGTGCAGAATTCAGGCTTCTTTGTGAGAGGGTCATGGAAGGGTAACCACACTAAGGTACCTTAGGTTTATTATGGGGAGAATCCTGGGACAGCTAAGCATTTTTGTTGTTGTTCAACCCCCCTCCTAGAACTTTGCGCTCTGTGAGTTTCACCTAAGGACGCTCTTCCCAAGTCCATCCACCTGACCAGGGCTCACACTGAGGCTGGAAGTTAATAAAACACAGAGTCTTATAAACGTATGAAGCAGCATCAGTGCGCTAAACAGCAAAAACCTCCATGTCCCCAGGGCTCTCCAGTGACCCTCAGAGGGGGGCAGTGACAATGACCACTGAGATGGCCCAGCAGCAGCTGACACAGATCCTGAGCTCCTACAGCAGCCTGCTTACTGGCCCAAGTCTCTGGGGCAAGCTTCCCTGGGGAGGGGCTGGCAGACAGAAGTCTCCTTTAAAGAGCCAGGGCATTCTGCAGGCCCTATTTTCTGCCACAATCATTCAATGCTGTGGCAAGATGGAAGTGAATCAAAATGGCTAAAGTCCAATAAAATTTTATTTACAAAACACTCTCAGGGTGTTTGGCCGTGGGCTGTACTTTGCTGACCTCTGCCACAGGGAGCCATTAGTGGAAATGTACAGATGGTGATGGGTTTATGAGCCCTGTTATTGTTGTAGCTAATGCTGTCAAGTCGGTTCCTACTCATAGTGGCCCGCCCTATAAACGGTTTCTGAGGAGTGGCTGGTAAGTTTGAACCAGCGACCTTGTGGTTTAAACCGACCTTGAAATCCAAACTGACCTTGAGATCCACTGCTTTATCCTGCCGCACCACACCCTTATGGACCCTAGATAGTGAGAATGTGGCCCCAGGCCACAGGACAGGAACAGACTGTCTGGTTTCAATCATCTTTAACGGACTATCATCATACAGGCTCCCTTGTTTATACAGCAGTCTCTTATGAGTTTGGTTAATGCGACTTAGTCCCAAAGAGTGCATTCCTCTGGGGACATTAGCATGTGATTCTTTAGGTACAAAAATAATGGGAAAACAAAAATACCAGATGCAAATGATGTGTCTTGATGTGACAACAATGTGGGTACTATTAGCATAACTGTCTGAACCAACAAGCACTCCCACAGACCCAGACCCAAAACAGCACCGCTGGGCACTTTTACAAAGTCAAGTGTATCTTCCATTCCCCTGTTGCTGTTAAACGTTGTCCAGTCAGTTCCAACTCATAGCAACCCTGTATAAGGTTTCCAAGGAGTGGCTTGCGGCTAGCAGTCCAGTGCTTATCCTACAGCGGCACACCAGAGCTTCAATATACTTATTAATTACTCAAATAAATGTCTTCATTTGGCTACAACTCTCCTCTATCTTATCTTTCTCATAAACAAGACGCTCAGTCAAAAACCTCATAGCGTGTCACTAAATAGAAAATGCCACTTAAAAGGGATGTTGTTGGTGTGTGGGGAAAGCGACTGGGGTCAGGAGTGACGATGAGAAGTGAAAGTACTGTAATCATTCCCCTACCCACAGCAGTGAGCTCTTGTCAATGCAGCCGGCCTCTGCAGGTCATTTCCTGACCAGCAGTTTTGACAGCCAGAATGCCAAAACAAAGGCTAACATCACCGTGCAGTCAGTCTGGTATTTTTATACTATCAAAGTGAAAAACAGATGAAGAAAAAGCAAGTGAGCCCTGCTGAAGGAGCTCCTGGAGATGCTGGTTTTGCTTGTGGTCCTCCATCACCCCGTCACACGCTCTACCGTCTACAGCTCCTGACAGGCCTTCCGAGTTGCCTGCTCGCATCTCCCCATCCATCCAAGCTACACAGACCAAGTGCTCACTGGTGTGAAGGCACTGAGCGTGGAACCCAATGCTCTTCCCTGCGCTCAGCTTGCCAGGGAGACTCTCAGATCCTGCTAGGGAGAAATAAAGATGGGGAGTGGGAGAGGGAGTCACATGCAGCAGTGGGAAGTACCATTTCTACAAGGGGAAGACAGGAAGGGGGAGAGGGAGCTGTCCCATTTGTAGTAGTAAAAATGGTGGAAATGGTTATAAACAGCCCACCACAGAGGCCTGACTAGTTAAATCAAGGGGAGGCAACTCATTCTGAGCTCTGCACTGTTAGGTCTTGAGTATGCAGTATACTACATGGCAGATAAGACAGTCTACCTAGGCGTGGATAGTGTACACACGCTGCAAAGGCTGGGAGAAC